GTATTAATGGTAAAAATTTTTTGACCACTTTTTTGGGAGTTCTATATTAACACGTTTGCTGCCACCGACACACTAGCGCGTCAGAGCGGCACCTACTGGTATGCCGGCAATGCACTAGCGCATCAGAGCGGCACCTACTGGTATGCCGGCAATGCACTAGCGCGGCGATCGACTATGATAAGTTACATGCTCTGTGTTTAGTGTGGCTTTGGAAATTGAACGGAGAGGTTGTTTTGGCACGTTAGTGAAGCATTATTTTTTTAATTTTTGTGGTTGGTTTTCAAAACTTTTGTTTGAATTTTTTTTATGTGCGTGACTGCCAATATCTGTATATTGTGCTTATTATTTGTAAATATTTTCAGTATTGTTTCATAAATGGTACTACATGTACTTGAATGGTATTCCGTTTTATTCCTTTCAAGCTGCTATTTTATGCAATATGCCAGTAATTTCTGAGAATATTGATCAGACGTGCTGGAGCGTCAGTGGCCCTCACGAAGACAGGTTGAGTCTGTGTGCCACTGACGCTCCAGAGCGTGGGGGGGGGAAAACGCTCTCTAAACAGGAAAATAATGTTTTTTTGTTTTTCTGGTTTCCCTGGTAAAATATAAGGAACAATTAAACCATTAAAACCCTGTTTTGTAATCCGGCTTCTGAGGATGGAAATATCATTTATAGTGGCAGCGAATGTGTTAAAAGTGCCAACATAGCACTCTCACCCCCCCCCCAGTAAGAAGGACGATAGTACAGAGAAGAAGGAAAAAACATCCATGCCTCAGACTGGGACACAAAGTCAGGACCTTTCTCACAAGAGGCCAGCTCCTACTCACCGTTTAGCCCGAGCGGCCGTTAACCTTAAGTATTCTAATACATTTGTGCAGAGGATACTTTAATTTATAAAATCAGACAACATACATTTTTTCAACGGATTTGGATTTTTGTCCCTTAAATATAGGTGTAGCTGTAATCTGCAATATGGTCACAATAATTTAGTTATAGTGTTCTCAAGTTCAAGCAATTTATAAATTTCATTTTCTGTTTTACTATACTATTAAGTATGTTCAGTTATTTTTTTTTACTCTTAAGTTTTTTCAACTTATAAAAATAGTATAGTTAGCCTAATATAGCTCATAAAAGAGCACGGTAATTCGTTCCTTTTAATATATTGTGTATAATGCATACAGGGGAATAGCGGGGAATTTTTTTCTTCCAAATTTGAGTGGCAAGTAGAAACCCTGGTACTATGCTCATAAGTATTGCTCCATGTTGTGAAGTTCAACTAGTTTAGTCCCTAAAATTTAAGTTGTGCAGATATACATGTTAACACATTATTAGTTTCATATCTAAACTCTTTTTGACAGTTTTACATTTTTTCCAGGTTTGAAATAAATCTTCTGACGGGGCTGGATGCCTATTCTGATAGACCGCTACATGTGAGCGTCAGATTTAATGGCCGATTTGTGGCACGCAACACGCTTATGCAGGGCGTGTGGGGCAGTGAGGAGAGAGGTGGTATATTTCCCTTCAATTCTGGTCAGGAATTCCAAATCATGATTTTAGTTGAATCTAACTGCTATAGGGTAATTCATTTGTTTATTTTGAAATATAGTATTTTTTTATATTCTTCCATTTATTTTTTAACACTGGAAGAGCTTTATTTTGGAGTTACCTAAAACCGCCATTTAGGTTCTATTTGTCAGAAAAAATTGATATAAATAATTGAACAGGCCGTGATAGCCTGGTGCAGGGTGCTGGGCCCATGTCCGAGAGTTTGTGGGTTCGAACCCCGCCGGCCGAAGACATCCCCGTGTAGTAAAGTGACTGATGCACGTTAAATACGTCGAGTCGCAAAAGTCCTCCATGTTCCCATAACAAATCAATACCTCTGGGGGCACTGGATTGGAAATCGATCGTTCTTTGATTTAGGTCAAAATTACGATCTGTGGATGAATGAATGGATGTATGAATTGTTCTGCCCCTATAAACGGGTGTGACGTATGGTGTGGCAGAAGTCGAATTCTTGGCCATAGATGGCGTCACTGAAAAACGAGAAATGCACACTCTGCCTTAAATTTGCTCTGTTTCACCAAGCAGGCTTGCCCGTGTGGCAAGTGATATTAAAAACAACAACAACAATAATAAGAAATTCAGCCTTTCTTCCCTTCAGTGGGTTGGTGAATGAGTACCAAGCACGCTTGGGAACTAAACACTGGGGGTTCCGCTTTCGGCTGACCACATGACCGGAACATCTGTCCCTGCACCCCAGAAAACTAAGATGGGCACAGTAGGACTTGTCCCTCTATGGGCTACCCTCTATGGGGCTATCGCGCCACTGAGTTTAGTTTTAGTTTAATAATAAGAAATTTAATCTATTTTAAATTAAATTATTTTTCAAATTATTATGAAATAAGTTTTTAGAGAGTAAATTTTTTTTTTTTAACTGTTTAAAAAGTTTTTCTTATTACATTATAATGTAATATTGTATTACAGATTATTTCTTCGCAATAGCGCAAGTTATACAAAAGCAAACAAAAACGAAATGAATATAAATAATATATATTAGGAAACAAGATTGTTTTAAAATCTTAAGTCTGGCATTAACCTAGGCGTATGCAGTTACATCCGCATGACGTGAAAGTACAACATCGACAATTTATTTTCCAGCATTTTTCATTGCTAGTATTTGTTTTATTCTGTGTCTTGCGATGTTTTTTTTTTAAAAAGCTTTTCTTAATTTTTTTAGAATAAATACATTTTTAAAAATCAGTGTACAAAATATAACAATTTGTATTTTCATAGAAAAGGGACAGACATTTAAAAGTTTGACTAATAAATGTCCATGTGTTTCACGAAAATTATGCTCCCATAATTTAAAAATTTTGTTGAAAATGATTTTAGGGTTTGTAAATAAAGCGTTGGTTTCTATTGCTAACAGTTAAAATTATTGGTAAAAATGTTAAAAAAATTAAAATAGAAGTCTGAATTTGAGGAGGCATGTAAAAAAAATAATTTTTGTGATGTCCTTTACTTATTACAAATGTTTGTTTAAAATTATTTAAAACAGGAAGCAATAATTAAAATGATATTAAAAGCATGCCAAAATTAATCTCCTCTGATGGTCTGTTGTTGATCACGAAAGCAGCCTAATTAAAATAAACACTAGTATTTTTTTTATGCTAGTTATTTAGTTTTTCTTTTTTTTTCATTATCATAAAAAAAATTTTGATAAGTTTTTTATAATAAAAAAATTTCAACTTTATTTTTAATATTGCATTTATTTCAGAAAACCATGACCTATGATCAGGGTTCTAATCTTGTTATCACTGTATGATTTTGTATGGTTAGAAAATTGGCTTGATTGATCGTGATTAAGCTCATGCTGATATCAAATTTCCGTTTTTTAAGAAACACATCCAAATAAAAAATTTAAGTTAACTGATGAGTAATAAAACTGTAACGTTAAGCATGATTTCCTTGCATTGCGATTGTCTTGGATACGTGTTATAATAATGGAAAATCAAGTTTAAAAAAAAAGTTTTTTTTTAAATCAAATTTTTTATCAATTTCATGTACAATCGAAAAAATATTTTTTTAAAAACTTTTCTTAAACTTTCAACCCTGTAGATATATGCACATATTTAAAATGTGTTTATTATCATTAATGTGCTCTTATTTTTAACAGATTGCTGTGAACAACCAACACTGTTTTGAATTTAACCACAGAATCCCGATTTCTAGAGTTACTACCCTTCATATTGATGGCTCTGTGGCAATTGAAAGAATAGAATTTATTGATAAGCAACTTCCGGTAAAACATTTATTGTTTTTATTATAAGATTATGCAGTATCTTTATTCTCATTTTACAGTTAGAAATTAGGCTCTTTGTATCAAGTGTGTACATGTTTCGTAAAAACGGGATCTGTTGATTCTATAGCTTTAAAAATGTGATGAGTCAATTCCATTTGATAAAAGCTAGATTATATGCTAGCAATATTTAGCATGTTATTTTTGTATTTTCAAACTACCCCACCAACTAACATTAACCAAAAATGTTTTCTTATATATTAAAACTTATTGTATCTAAAATAGCAGAAAATGAAATTGCATTTTAATTCAATAATTTTTGCTATTTTGTTTATGCTTCATTTAAATGCAGTTACAGTTTAAAATTATTATTTTTTGATTCATTTTATTGATTAAAAAAAAAACTTTACCAATGATGCTGGCAACTTTTACGATACTACAAATTGTAATGAAATTCTATAAAAGTTGGCTGTCCAAGTATTTTTAAGTATTGATTTCTAATGTGTTGTAAAAATTAACTTATTACTCATTCCTTTTTTTGTTTATTTAGTAATTAGTATTATGCCGTATAATAAATACTTATTAGCTTAGATTTGTTGTTTAATATAAGATAAACGATACTCAATATTTTGTTAAAGGTTATATATTGGACTAAAGGTGGTTCTGACTCTTATCGAGAAGTACAGCCATATTTTAACTTGAAAACAAAAAATTGCTTTCATCTAACACATGTTCGATTATAAATAAAATATTCTTAAAATTTCTTTGCTTCGGAAAAGTTGTTGGCATTTATCTGCAAAACTTTTTTAACCTTAAGACTTAAAAATAGTTTCTTGTAGATTTTAAATCTATGAAGTTTTCAAATTATAATGCCATTCTAATATAAAGTTGGTTACCTAATATTGCTTTTAAAAAAATATTTCTAATATATTATAAAAATGAAATGCTAGCTCACATTTTTTTTGCATCCAATTATTATTATACGAAGTTATAGTATTAAATCTTTCACATATATTTATGGCTTAATTTATCAATTAGATACTATTATAATCATTGGCATATATTTGTAGCTAAAACCTATCTCAATTTTAATACAATATGAACTGTATTAAATACAACTATAACTTTGTGCAAGGAAACAAAAAAAAATTGTTTTTAGAGAAGGATGACAATTTAGTAAATAACATTTCTTAAGTTTGACTTTAAAAGTTCTTTCATCAAGTCATCATCATCCCCCTGGCAGAATCGCAGCCACGCGACTACATTGTCGCAGAATGTTACAGATTTCTTGCAGTAAGTTTTCTTTTCTACAGAAATTTACATGTAAAATTTGATTCATACATTTAGATAATAATTCACTTTTTGGCGCTCTCAATTTACGCTTATAGTATTGTACATCGATATGTTTTTATTCTATTTTTGCCAATTATTGATATTGATTGTCACATGATTTTTAAATATCTGGATATATTTCAAACAGTATGGGAAATATGAATTGTGCATTTACTTTTTAAGGCCATTTGTGTATTTACTTTTTTTGCTTCTATCTATTGTTTAGCTGTTATCGCTATTGATTTCTCCATAGATTTTAAATCTGATATTTTTTGTACAGTATTATTTATTACAACAACTCAATCTCGAAACGAAATACGCAATTAAGTAATCCCTTTTTGAGGAGTTCGATTCGCTCGATTTCGTTGTCGATTTTCCCCCCCTGGCGATTACTACAACGGAGTTCATGATTTATAATTATTTTTTTTTATTGTGAGAATTATTTACAAAACGCGAAGAAGAAAATAATTAATGCATTTCCCAACAAAATGCGAGAATATCAACCATAATACTAGAATAAAAAATTATTACATGTTTAATTAAAAAAAATTATATGCAGTTTTTTTTTGTTGTAAACACAGCGCTTTTGTTATTTTAAATTAGTAACATATAAGTTTGTTATTAATAAAAGTATCTTGCAGAAATATATTACTGCCACAGGTATCATCATAATTATATGAATTCCTACAGTAGAAAATATTTTCGATTTATTTTGTTTCTAAGCATTATTATTTGCACCAATTCAAACATGCTTTCTACTTAAGTTAATTTCTATTAGGTTTTAATTATTTTAAAAATTTTTAATTTCTAAAAGGTTGTGGTAATTTTTTTTCTTTCAATTTGACAACCAGTTCTTATTTTATGCTGTTAATTGTTTATTTTGAACTTTTTATCTCTCCTTTAGGGTTTTCCGTCTACAACCTGCATTCCCCCATATCCTGGGGGTAGCTTCATACCACCACAGCCTGCAGTATGCCCACAGCCCGGCTACATACCACCTGCAGTATGCCCACAGCCTGGTTACATACCACCACAGCCTTCAGTATGTCCACAACCTGCTTACATTCCACCTCCTGCAAACGAGACATCTAACTTAGCTCCTGTTTATAACCCTGTAAGAGTATACTTATTTCTTTTAGTATATATCTTTCTAGTATATATGTTACCGGCAAAGTTTGAAATTCGGCATTCTATAGAATTCCTAGGCATTGTATATAATGCCTAAAACTAGCTGGCAATGTATGACACGATTTATATTTCACACATTTCCTACGCATTCTATAGAATGCCAAATGAGAAACCGGCAAAGTATAAAATACATCTCAGATTCGTTTAGAATATCACAATTAATAAGAAAGGCATGAATTATGTTTTGCCTTTCTTAATGTAAATTATGTTTATGAATTTCCCTTAATAAAAAAGGCATTAATTACGTTTTGTATAACTTTGACGCATTTTGAATAAATTTTTTTTAATGGCACTCTCATTATTTTTTCAAAATATTTTTATTTTTGAGAAATGCCCATCATTTACATAATAACCTCATCATACTTTGCCTAAATAGCATTTGTCATTCTATAGAATGCCTAGGTATTATATACGATGCTTACGGAAAGTATGTAATACTTCTCATATTTCATACCTTGCCTAAAAACATCCAGCATTATATTTAATGCGTAGGCTTTCTATAGAATGCCGGCGTTTCATACTTTGCTGGTAACATATGTATAAAAAGGTATTTATTTGATTTTTTTCATTAATAATTAAAACTAAAAAACGTGACTGTTGAAAATGATGTATGGTACCATTTTTCAATCTAAAGGATATAAAGGTAGAAACTGTACTGTTATAATTTTTATAGCCTATCTAATTTTAAACTGACCCTATTCAGCAATCATTTTATAGATTAACATTTATTTTTAATCTAATTTTTCATACTTTTGAGAGGGAGTTGAAAATGTTATTTGATGCCAAAAATTATGAATTAAGTTATCTTGAAAAACATAGCCACAACAAAAACAGTATCTTACTAAAAGTTTATAATTTTTTTTTCTTATAAAAAAATCTATAGTTGTGGCCATTCATTATTTGTACAGTTATAATTTCAATGTCAAAACTGATTTCCTGTTGTTACTTCAATCAAGCAAATTAATTTAGATTTTATTATCAAAAACGAGTGTTCTAATTACTTTTCCTTATATAATATTTCAAGTTTTTGTAAAGAGTTTCTAAACAATTTGTTTATCAAACCTTTGGGGTTGAGTTTCATTCTGAATTTAAATTTTGATCATTGAAATTGAATCATGTTTAGTGCTATAAGAAATGGATATGAACATCATAATCCTCCTGTTGAGTTAAAAATTTCAGAAACTATTAAGAATAAATTTTAATAAATTAACTTTAATGCACAATTACATATTTTTATCTAGATTTTTTTTTAACATTGTGATGAAGGTATAAATAAATTATCAACCAAGTTTGATTACTACTTCAAATGTGAGAACAAGTTGAAAATTTCTCACCCCAGCTATTCTAAAATATATACACTTTATTTATTTTTTACTTTAATGTTTAAAGAAATAAAATATTGGTTAGTGGGCACATCTGTTTCACATCAACAGTGTTTTACAATGACCAATTTTTTTCTCCAAAAAGGTGAACCTAGTTAGAATGTTTTTGTAAATTGTATAGAAGAGTTTGTTTTTATACAGTCACCTGGCCATATTATTAGACACACTATAAGATTCTATGTGAAATCTTAATTATCAAGTAATACTATACAACTTTATTGTTTTTATGCGACTGAAACCTGTTTGCACTTGTTTACGTTAGTGTATCCATTTGTTAAATTAGACGATATATTATATAAATATTGAATATTTATTATATCAGGTATTATAGTAGTATATCATAATAATTAAACCAAATTATTCGACATACTGTAGTGTTTAATAATGACATGTTTTGCACGAGTTTATAGGCAATATTTTCATAGTTAAACACACATGTAATGGGTTTTTATTCAAGAGATTTTTTATATACTTCCTATTTGCATTAATATATTTTTTTTTGTTGATGTATTGCATTGCAATGTTAACTGATTGCTACACGAAGGTAAACAAATGCAAACCGGTTTCAGCCACATAAAAACAATAGAGCTGTAATATCACCTGATAATTAAGATTTTACATAGAATCTTTAATAATATGGCCATTAAATAATATGGCCGTTTAATAATATGGCCAGTTTGCTACTCTATTAATGAATTGAATTATACCTGAAATAAGAGTTTTCGGAGAAATATTTGTGTTAGCAAAGTGTGGTTGTGATGATCTTTAAACAATTTGTTTTGAAACAAAATAATTGTTTGTATAGACATATATTTCACTAGTAATTTGTTACTACCTATGAAAAAATAATTGCTATGTCTGCATAGTGTTTTTTTTTTAAATATCTTACCGGCAAAATAGAAACTTAGTATGTCTTGTATGAGCAAAATAATATGAACTCCTTTAATATTCTTTTTTAGAGTATTCCTTATGCTTATCCAATTTATGGTGGCCTTAAGCCTGGTATGATGATTTACATCAGTGGTCGACCTTCTGCAAGTTCTAATAGGTATGCTTTAATGATTTTTAATTAAAATAATTCATGGTGTTCAAAAAATGACCGACAATTTGAAAATTGATTAAAGAAAAATGGAAGGAGATTGAAATGTTTAGTTTGCTTTGTTTTAATTAGAGACCTAAGAATTAATTCTCCCCAAGTTATAAAATATATTACAAAATTTGCTAACAGATTTTGTCGCTGACTGAGAAAATAATGACTTCATTATTTTGCACTGATGCCTTTTAATTTCAAACAACACCAGGTTGTTGCGGTAAATAATAATTATTTTGTTTGGAAACACTTTATAGTTTTTTCTTATTTTGCAGTGCCACCTTTAGATAAACTTTTTAACTGATTTCGAAAATTTGTAGAGAATAAAATCTGGTTTCCTAAACAGAATGCAGCAAATTGTAAATTTAATTTAATTGATATTTCACCTGTTAACCAAAACATAAACTTTTGTTCAACTCATGGGTAAGTTTCTCTTCATAGTTTAAGTTAAGTAATATCATAAAACTTCAGTAATTTCCATGATGAAAAATGTCCTCATGCCCGTAGCAGTTGATGACATTCCTAGCTAACAGGTTAAACATGTTGGTTATTTTTAGGATACCTGGTAAATTGACTAATTAATGTGCTATAAGTAATGACAAAAACCCAGCCTTTTTTTTTCCACAGGGCTTAAACTTGCATCCTCTTTTCATGCAGAACTTTAAATGTTATCCTGAATATGTATAAGTATAATATACATGGTGTTCCGTAATAACCACTCTTTATACTAATACATATATATACTTTTAAAATCCTAGCAAAAATGAAGTAGGAAAACTGTGCATGCAAAAATAGTTTTGAAAATTATATTTTGGACAATTTTTCTCCCCCTTGCCCTTAATTATCAAAAGTCTATCTAGGAATTCTTGTTAGGATCTTGAATTTTAAAATTTTGTGAAAAATATTTTTGTTAAAAACTGGGTTCTCATTTCTATAAAATATGTACGAGCATAATTTTTATACTCATATAATAAGCTATAGTCTTTTAAATATATAAAAAAAAATCTATCATCAAGCACTTTTAAAATGGAAAACTTGATAATAGAGCAGTTTTTTTATTACATGATAACAAAGTTTGTACTTCATACAAAAATGCACATTTCTATGCTTATAAAAATTACCTTTTGAGTTGTAAGAATAATCACAAAATATGTTATTTATTTTACAATTTAAAAAATTGTCTGCTTTTTTATATTCATAGTTAGAAATTTATGTATTTGAATTTTTAACTTGTGTTTTTGTGAAGGGTTCCTAACTAGATCTTATTTCATCCTATTTTACCCCCTGATATCGATTGACCAAAGTATAGATAAGCTGTTAGATTACATTTAAAATGAGAGAAAAAATTAAGACCTCTAATGTGCATTTGTTGGAAAATTTTTTTACTGCTCCGTTAGGCGGTTAGGGAGTGTTGTTCAAAATTCGTGTGACTGCTTCCCCAATTGCTTTTTTATATAAATTTGTAGTGAATCTACTACTACAAAAATATAATTCCAATTCATTAGTATATAACAGATGTTAACTAGATTCTATGATAGGGTACACATTTTCATAGATGAAGGTTGATAGTGTCGATAGCCAGCATCCCCTCATAGGTGACCTTTGGATGTAATGTTAACATGCCTATCTTGGCAGTAACGCCCACTTCGATGGATGGTCTACATTGAACAGTTGACTTGCTACATGTGTCTGCGACATTATCCACCGCCTCACAAGCTGTTGCTTTCCAGTCTCGATCATGCACTCGACTGCTAAGGGTGACCATGACCGTGAACTTAATACAGCTCTCCCTGCTTCTCATAAAACAGCAATGAATCAACTAGTGGTATCCGTTCATCGAATTCTATCACAGATATAATTCTGGTGAGGGAGTACTGTAGTGTATCTACCACTACAAAATTATAATTCCAATTCACTAGTATATAACACACGTTAACTCGATTCGATGGATGGGGTACCTTTTCATAGATGACGGTTGACATTGTCGATAGCTAGCATCCCTACAAATTGTAGTTGTGTAGAATACACACATGATCCTTTAGATCATGCATCTCAGACTGTTGCAAATAGTTCATAAATGTAGCTTCATACGTTAACAACCAAAACCAATAGTTTATCATTCATCTATGTATGGAAAGAAAACTTTTAAATATTTCTTTGGGCTAATGATAAGAATTTCTTTTCAGGTTCACAATAAACTTCCAGTCTGGCACATCTCCTTACCCTCCCCCTGATATTGCTTTCCATTTGGATGCTCGCTTCTTCACTCGGTCAGTTGTAAGAAATTCACGTACCAACAATGTCTGGGAAAGAGAAGAGTGCCTTGCCTCTCACTTCCCCTTCCAGCAAGCTGTTAACTTTGACATGATGATACGTGTGGAGCAGGACAGGTTTATGGTTGCACTCAATGGTCAACACTTCATAGAGTTCAGGCATCGATTGTTCCCTCTCTCACGCTTTGATACTCTCTACATCGAGAATGACATTGTTGTCTCTTCTATTAGATTTGCATAAATCTATTTTGTTAGTGAATTTGTTATAAATGAAAATAAAGTTTGATTATTTTTGGCCACATTGTTTTCATAAACAAGCTCTTCATTTGCATCTTCAGAAAAAGTGTTTTCAATTTAGAAATAATAAGCGATGAATTAAACAAATCCCACAATGATTATGCTGTAAGAATATCTTGCAAGTCATCAAAATTTCAAATGCAAGATTAGTTAAAAGCACAAAATCAAGTTATAAATATAGTGATAACTACACATTAAGATTTAAAAAACAAAGTTGTGATCGCCTTATTACGATCACTGGTTATCCATTGGTCAAATGCTTTTTCTTTCTGGATTGCAGGGTTCGTGATTTTTTTGATTTTCTTAAAAAAAATCGGATTATTTTGATTTAAATCGGATTTTTTTGATTTAAATCAGATTTTTTTNACTTTAAATTATTATTATGTAAATACATTAAGAATGACTGCTAGTGAAAATGAAAAGAAAAACAGCAGCAGTCGCGATAGCAATGCATGCATGCACACTGTTTACTGCTACTTTTGAACACTGTTGACGCCATCAAATTCAAACCAAGACCCATTTTGCTAATGGGTAAAAATTTAAAAATTTCTTTTAAATAAATTAATTATTATTAATATTTTCAAGTATCTAATAGTTTTTGCACAAGAAAACAAAATGTAACATTGAGTTGAACATCCAAAACAGTGGCAAACAGAACAGAAATATTAGGCTCAAGCAAATTATTATATAGTGACAATATGATTTTCAAACAAATTTAGTTATAATGAATGAATGCTAAAAGAACATGACTGAAATGATTTTTTACGAAAATACAACTTTCATTTAAATTTACAGTCAAAATGAATTTAAAATTTAGATTTAGTTTTACAAATGATTCATAAATATCTTTTTTTGTTTGTTATTTAACTAGATTTTCATGTCCCCTAGAGTGAGTATTCCCTTTTGACCTAGGATATTATCCCAGTCATTTACATAGAGTTGTATGCCTTTATGTTAAGAATCTAGAAAACAAGAAAAAAAATTTCTTAAAAAAAGTTAGTATACATTTTAAATTTAAAAGAGAAGAATTGAATTTTAAGGGAGGATGGAATAAAGAAATGATCGAAATCAAATGAATCATTATTGAGGAAGGTAGGATTAAAATCATCTTGCTTGCTAAAAGAAACTAGTGTTTCTAATTCTCACCCTACACATTCTCCGTTTCCAATCAAAATGGTTTTCATTTTTTAAATCTAATTATCCTCAATTAGGACTCTTAAAATTTTTTTATAGCGTCTTTGTCTTTTTTTCTCACTTACACAAAGAGGTGTACTGTAAGCTGTTACAGCAATTATCGCATTTGATGAAACATAAGCTAGTTGCACCAGAAACTACCATGTTTTAAGAAGATGCATCACTTATAAAGAGAGAGTCTATGCTACTTTTATACTAATATTTTAATTCCTAAAATTTAAATAACTCATTTTAAGATTAAGGTAGTTCCTGCCCTCATTTTTCTAATTTTTAGAAACTATTACAATAAACCTTAACTGTGCACAGACTAACTTACTGTAATGTCTTTCCAGTGCTGTTATAAACTATGATTAATAATTATGTAAACAGGGTAATCCACAATGATTGCCCTTAATATTTTTTAAATGGGAAGTCATTAAAAATAATTTTGTTTTAATAAGTAAATTAATTAATTTTTTCGCTTTCTAATTTTTTTATGCATTTGGTAAATCTGGTCTTCTCTAACTCTAGTGCCAAATTTTCAAAAGTTATTAGATAATTCACTAAAATATTTCAGATTACAATCTGTTTAAAATTTTAACAAAAATCATACACTACATATAAAACTTAAAAAAAATATGTCCCACTAAATTATATTTCTTGTAAGAATTGGTTAAAGATGAAATTATTGGTGAAAGCGAGACGGAAAAGATCAAAAGCTGGTAGTAAAACCATTGAAGTTTTAACTTGTTTTCGAGAGGAGTAAATCTATTTTCTTCTTCAAACTATTCAACAATATCTACTTTTTCTCAGGGAAGAAGCAATTTTATATATATGCTATAGATATAAAAAAATTTCGGTAATTACAGAAATTTAATGTTTCTAAAAAAAAATGCTAGAATGAAAGCCTTTCGTACCTGATTTTGCTCTTTTTGCATCATCATCATAATTGGCCAGACAGCCTAATGTGGGTCAATGCCTTCCTCTGAAGATTTCTCCATAATGACTTCTGATTTATCTTTGATCTCCAAAACTTTTCATTAATTGCAAGAAGGCTGCGATAGCCTAGTTGGTAGGGCACTGGACCCATGTCCAAGAGTTCGTGTGTTCGATCCCCGCCAGACAAAGACTCCCTGTGTAGTAAATGGTGACTGAGGCACGTGAAATTTGTAAAGTAGCAAAGTCCTCCATGTTCCCATAACAAATCAATACCTCTGGGGGTACTGATCCAGGAGTTTCCTTGTCTTCTGGATTGGTTCAAAATTACAAGGCTACGGAGTTGAACATTAGTTGCCGTAAACCCTAAAATTGGGTCGTCTGCTCAACGACGGTTATAAAATATGAAATAAAATTAATTGCAAGAAAATCAGACTCCACAAAGTCAGCCCATTTCAACCGCGGCCTTCCCGACTCTTTTCAGTCTCGGTATATTTAAACTTTCAGCCGTGACATGGCTAGTTTTTTTTAAAAACATTATTTTAAAATTTCTTTCAAGCATTATTATATTTTGATACATTTATTATCCATTATCGTTAATTTTTAATCCACCAGCCTATTAATAACAAATAATGATTACAAAAATTTTTTGCCAATCGCCTCTTTTTTTCATTGAAAATGCACCCCATGTGTATTTTATTATTATTTTTAATGAGAATGAAGTTTTTATTAGTATTTTATAATATTCAGAAAATTAGTCCATTTTACGCTTCTTAATTTTTTTTTCGCTTCAGAAATGTATCTTGTAATATTTACTATATTTTGATAACTGCTTCAAAGGAAATGCCTTGCATTATAAATATCAACAATTTTTTAATCATTGAAGATTTTGCCACATGTTTCAAAAAATGGTTATAACTAAAAATGCTATAACTAGTCACTGACCGGAGCAAAATTTATTTCTTAACTTTCTCCAATATAAATTTTTTTTTGTACACATTAAATTTCTTTTATAAGTTGCTCCTGTATGCTTTCTCCAACATAAAACAATTCATTATCAAAAATACTCTTACACATTTCTTGAATCTCGTCGCTTAACCACTTCACATCGACTGCCAGATATATATACCAGCATGAAATAATCCTGTTCAACGTCAGTTATCATATTCAGGGGAGAGCCCAACTCAAAAATCCCGAATCTTTCCTGAGTAAAATCATTAATGGTGCATTTCAAGAAATTTATATCTTTATAAATTTAAATCATTTATATTTTCAAACCATGAAACTCTAATGAAAATATACGCAGCATATTTTAAATGAATAATTATTTCTAAGTTTACTTTCATCTTTAATCACATTTATTATTCCAATAGAAAAAAATATTTACAAATGAAAGTGATGCCGAGCATAAATTCTAGTTCTAATATATTTAAACAAAATATACACGAATTTCTATAGATAAATGTGATCGATGATTTCTTGAAACTTCTGAATATACGGAATGCGGCATAATGCAAAATTCATTAAAAGGTTAGTAAAATACTGGGGAAAATAAAGAGTAAAAATACATTAAAAAAAAAATGTATGTAACAATTCATATTTAGGTAATTTTATGAATTTAGGCCCAAACCCTCTGGTACTGGGCAGGCAGTCAAAAAAGACTCAGTAAAAAAGTTTGGGCATGCAAATGTGTTGAGTAAGCTAATTTTAAGTTTATCTTGATTTCAAACTTGGCATAAAAAAATATGAAAGAAAATATAAGTACAATCGGAAGGATAAACCATTACGAAAAAAGAAAATAGTTTAATTAGTTAAGCACAATGTTGAATAATAGACAAAAGAAAAAGTTCAGCTACTCTTGACATCTTTCTTCTTATCCTCTGCCTTACTTTCTTCTTTATCTTTCCTTTCTTTCACATCTTCCTTTTTACTGCTTTCCTTTCTCTCCGCATCCCTGTTGGTGATTTTGTTGTTGATGAGATTGTGCAGGGCTATCACAGATCTGGACAGAGATGCCAGGTAAACGACCAGCATCTGGTCATTTGATTTCACGTGCATGGACTTCACAAATTGCCGGATGGTGACGTCTGGGAGGAGATTGAGAATATCTTGAAGCTGATAGATGATTGTGTGGTTTACTGGCAAATTTCCAGTCACCACCTAAAATAATACAATCATTAATTATGTGAATGACAAAAAAATAGGATGAAATAATACAATAGATGGAATGAAATATAAAATTAAAGCTATTTACAACAAATAATAAACTCATAATATATTAAAATAACTCATACCACAATAAACTCACAATATAATAAATAAACTTATAATACAAGAATTAAACTCACAATGAAATAAATAAACCTACAATACAATAAATATAAACTGACAATACATTAAATAAACTTACAATATTTTCTAGAATGAGAGCCACAACCGGAAATTTATAGGAGTATTTAATTTTTATAACAGGCACAGCTTGCAGTTCAGTAAGTGCATAGACAGATTCTTTCATTTAAAAATGATAAAAATATAATGTAAAAGAAAGATTTTATTTTTTTAAACAGCATTTCTCTCTTTCAGTAGTGAGACATCTGCTCTACATGACCTTGGAGTCAAGCACCTGCTACAGGCTTTTGATGAAAAGAGGTGTAAAATGGAAAAAAGAAAGAAAAAAAAAACTCAATCTTGAGAAAAAGAATTCTCTGTGTTTTCCCAGTACATATGATAAGAGGAAACACAACAATTACTGTGTTCTTGGTGAGCTATCTTGGGCTAATTATATTTATTAGTTTTAATTGCTGGAAAAACAGCTGAGCATACTTAAATAATGTTGTAGTAAATGAAAAAGTTTAGAATAACAGAAATATGGTCAAATATCCCATATATTACGCTTTGAGTGGTCACCATTTTTTAAAAGACAGAAATATGAAACAAAATACCCTGTAATTTCCCAGATCATAAAGAATCAAAATCCCCTGTCAATATATGTAATTTTTAAATTCCTTGTATTTTTTAGGTTTTCCCTGTCCTTCCTGTGGAGGATTACCTGATTAACCCTGGATTAAACCCTGATTCTACATATAAAAAAATAATAAATGGGGTCAATTAAGAAAATTTTTGCTCGAATAACTGGTTCAGAAATATCTGGTTCTTTTTTTCTCTCTAACTCCTTTTCATTTGAAATATGTTTTGGACAATCATAAATCTAGCTTTTCTTATTTCTTTCCTAATGAATGAAATTTTAAATTCAAATGATTTTTTGAAATAACTTGTTTTTCAGAATGGTACGTTCTAATAAAAATAAAAAAAAAATCAGGAAAATGATGACAACTACCTAGAGATGGAATGAGAGACAAAAACAGAGTGGACACAAACATTAAGAAAACTAGCAGAATTAACATCTGTGTTAACCAAAGAAACATTTTTAGAGTAATTTTACTTCTCTATTAATTTTTGAAGAAATCTATTAACTTTTAAAACAGAGATAACATTGGTAAATTACAGCCATTTTATAACACTGATTTTACCATGATTTATATATAAATTATACCAAGTAAATATAACAGAATTATTGCTTGATTTTTAATCAAAAAACATTATATTCATTATTTAATCATTAATTAGTCAAAGGTTTCCAAATAAAACAAATTACAGAATTGAAATCTTTTTTTTCTTTTTCCCCCTTACCATTTAACAGCATGTTTGACACAGTTGGTACCTTCATTGGTGGAAGGAAAAAGATTTTCTCCACAAAATATTCCAGAAAAGATATTCAATTGCTCTGAATCTGACTTTTTCATTCTATCTTGAGTTGCAAAATCTCCTTAATTTGCAATTGCACTTTTGAGAGTTAAAACAACAGTGATAAATTTCTTAAATTTAGAATACAGGAACGAAGTTAGTGTCACTCTGTTTACAATCATCTATTGATTTTTTAAAAAATTATCTTATTCAACAGCAAGGAAAAAAAACTGTCAATGTTTATGTTATATATATATTAAAATCACGAGATTCTTCAGTTGATTCAAAATGTCATTACTTTGTGAACTTTTCTATCTTACACAAGAACTTGAACATTTAGAATTTTGTTAATAAAATTTTAACTTGTATAACAATTTTTGAAATTATTAATTTAATTCCAAATACAACAAAATATTAAAAAAAAAACTATTTGTGACTGAATCCTCAGCATAACATTTTAACAATTCTTATGATTGTTGAAATTCAAATCAAATTGAAATCATTTTAAATAAACTGTACAAAGAGATGAATTCCAATTTTTGGAACAGCTAAGTTCCGTCATACAAGGTTTGATTAAATCTTCTAAAAATACTAAATAAATACATGTTTCTCAATTCCCCTTTTTGAAATTTCATGAAAAAACCCTCATAAAGTTTCATACAATCGTTAATAAAGTTTTTTGGATAGAAATTAGCCAAAAAGAGCAGAATTCCGCAGAGTTATCCGATCACAAAAAAAGTTTTGCAGACTTTTCTATTATCGTGATTGAAAAACAGGCTAAAGGAACAAGGTTAAGGATATGCCAAAATTGAAGCGCATTTTGAAATAAAACTAAAAATTGCTTATGAAACGTTGACAGCTAAGTACAGTGAAGATATTAATAAGGTATGAAATTGATACAATATTTTCATGAGTTATTAGATCAGACCTGGAAAGCCGCACCTCGCATACTGGGAGAAAAGATAAATACAACATAAAATTACAATATTAAAATATGACATTTTCACATATAGTTGAAAAATCACTCGTTTATATACATTACTATAACAGAGATTAGTCATCAAATTTTTGTTTACAGGCTAAGTAGTATATAAGTAATGTATAAGTTATGAATAAGCATATTAAGAGTTCTTCAGTTATTATATTTTAACATATAACCAAAGTGAATATTTTTAGATTTTTTACTGAAAAATATTTTAATTATTAAAATTATATTAATTTTGGGCATAAAATATTAATCTAAAAGGCTTTTGAACAATTCTTTATTTCATCTTTTCATTTAAAAAAAATTTGTAGGATTTAAATCTAGGATAACCATTAATGAAATATTTGCTTATATAATTTATCAATTTTTAAAGAATCAAAATTTTGAATTTAAAAAGAATTAAAATATATAGTGTTATTATTTAAAAAAAGATCATAAAAAATTATAACATAATGTTTTAGTGAAAATAAACTTAGTATGCAAACGCAATAAATGCTTTGTTAGAAGATTATAATATTTAGAATAAAGATATTGTTTAATAACCAGGGTTCGTGATTTTTTGATTTAAATCTGATTCCTTTCATTTAAATCGGATTTTTTTTATTTATTCAAATACACTATAAAAACTTTGATTTATGATTAAAAAAACTTTATAAATGCTTAATCAAAATTAAATTAATACTAAAACTATAATATAACAATATTTTAGAAGCTCTAACTATCTAAAACAATTTTTTATTATAATACATAGCATTGAATGCATAGCCACCATATTAAAGAAAATGCATAATTGAAATTTAAAGATTAGATGAAATAGAGAATTTAAAGAACACTTTAACTATTAAAACAAAGTTTCAATTAGCAGTCCATAATTTTAATTTAAAATTGTGATTTCTTTCTCTCTTTTTTTTTTCTCTTTTGATTTTTAAAAGGACAAAATAAATATTTAATCTACATATTTTTATATTAAAATATTTATTTTTAATTCTATATCAAAATAGATAAGTTAAGCTAAAAAAAATTTTTAAAACATCTATGTGCTCATTGAAATTTTTCACACAAAATTTCTGCATAGAAAATATGATAATGTCAAATATACTGTAGACATATTATGAGAAAAAAAAAAATACTTATTGGTAAAAAAGACAGCACAATTCCAATTCTGGGTTATTTAATTTAAAAGAATGACTCTATATCAGGGGAAGAATGACAGTATACCATGAAAAAAATATCTGAATTCATCAGCATTTTTTTTTTCTTCTTCAATTTTTGGCATATTAGGGTAATTTCTTCCCAATATAACCTCAAGCTTTAGAAATATGCATTTTCCACCAATAAAATATAATGTCGATTTTAATTCCATGCTTTTTCAATCAAAAAGTAGAATTTTAATTAACATTATTTGCGAAAAAAATTCATGTTTATTAATTAGTCAATATTAAGACAGCATTAAATGTTTACTTTAATCTGTACTTTCAATCTCAACTATCAAAAGATTTTTAAAAATTTATTTTCAAATGTGTTGGAATTTAACAAGAAAGTAATTTTGTTTACTAAAATTAATCAATGCAGCAATTTATCCAAAATAAATTTTAAAACTATGAAAAGAAAATAATAAAAGTATCAATAATTTAAAACACTGTTTTTTAACTTTTTAAATCAATATATATATTAAAAAAATCATTTGATTTAAATCAATGATATTTTTAAAAAAAAAATCATTTGATTTAAATCAAGCTGATTACCAACAAACCCTGTTCATAATAAAAAGAAAGTTAATAAAAAACTTATAGAAACAATACAAATGAATTTGCATTAATGAGAAAAACAAAATTCATGAATTTGGAGGCAAATAAAATAAATAAATGTTAAATAATAATAAAAATCCTTTTAGATTACCATACAATAAATTTTTGAACTTCTTTAAATTTTTAGTAAATTAAAGTTTAAAATTTGTAAATCTGCTACCAGGTATAGAGACAATCAGTGTAAACAATGTAGATACTGTATTAATATTAATAACGAAAGTTTTTAAACTTAAAATGCATTGAAGAATCAAACGGCAAAATTAAACACAAGAAAAATTTTACTTCTTATTTATATACTGATTAAGTAGTTTTAAAATAAAATATTTTCTTCAATTTCAGCATTGCCTATGAAAACATCAAGCATTAAAGGTTCTTGCACAAGAAGTAATACAAAAATGAATTACTGTATTTTATTATTATTGTATTTGGAGTAAGGTCAAACTATTTTTACTACTAAAATAAAGCATATTGCTACAGCCTAGTGTATAACAGAAGAAAAATACAGAAATGAGCATGAATTTGAGCATTGCATTTGTTATTGCACTTATGCAAGTAGTCTTTTGCACTAAAAAATCTCAGTTTCAATAAAAATAAATTATTTGAGGGTATCAAATTATTAATACAAAAAAATTATTATTCAAAATTATTGAAAAATTATTATAAGATCATGTCCATCATTTTTGAGAACATCAAACATTTGTATCTAGTAACCCTACAACAGTAATTAGTACTTTAAACAAAATAGTTTTGCCGGCACAAAAGTTTGTCCTATTGTCTATTGAGTTGTTGTGGGTGACTGTTGGCTTCTTTCAGAAAAATGACTCTCAAAAATGAATGTATCTAAATACCAAGTTTGGAATTGAAATTACACTTAAAAGAAGAAGAAGAAAAAAAAGTAGTAAAATATTAATTTCATTATAGGTGATAAAATATATTAAATGGAAAAAAATTTTGTGTTGCATGAAAGGGCCAAAGAAGTTGGGATGATAAATGCATTATTTAAAAATAATCTATATATACCTGATCTAAATAATCCTTTATGTCAGCAATCTGAGAATGCAATCCTTTCAATCCTCTCAGCTGGTTTGTTATCCTTTGTGACAATGTCCCTAGAGTGGTATCTTTGATGTCTCTGTAAAAGAAAAAAAAAAAAACATTAAGAATAAATAAATAAAAAAAATACAGAGAAACACTGATTATACGTTTTCTGTGGGACTAGTGTATAAAATGCACAAAACAGAATAATATAAAATCTGGCTAAAAAAATATATAAGCATTTTTTTCAGAAAATTACACTTTGATGAACTACAAGGGGAAAAAATAGCATACTCTTTACAGGTTTCTTGTTTTTAGAGACAATTTCAACATAGCTGCCAACATGGATAAGAAAAAAATCCAATTTTAGAATTAATTTTAGAAATTCTAAAATTAATTTTAAGAAAAAAATTAATTTTATGAAATAATATAAATTTCATGATGATTATTGCATAATATATTAAATATTTTACACAAAAGGAATTTTAGGGATCTTTATAGAAAAACTGCAATGTTTTCCAGTTATGATGGACATTAAATGAACTTTAAATGTTATGTATTTTGTTTACTCATAATTTTGAATAGCATTTAATTCATCAAAGATAGCTAAAATATTTATTAATTAATTTAAAAAGGGAGTTCTGAATGAAAATTAAACTGAACATTTTAGACAAAAACAGTTTTTAACTGATTTTTATAAATGAGGCTAGCTTTATTAAATATAATATTTATTTTAATATTCAAGCAAGCAATATTCTGAGCAAAAATTCTATTTCAATAGGAATTTTTTAGGAAACTTACTCAATTTTAGGGATTTTTCTAAATGTATGAAAATTTTAATGAAACCAGTAGACCAGGAGAAACAGGAAAAATCCAGTAGTCTACTGAAAAGTCCAGTAACGTTGGCAGCTATGCAACAATATCCCTCTCAATACCTACTATTGTTTGCTAATTTTCTTTGTTTTACAAGCACAAGTATTTAAAAGATTTCATGTTTTCAAACTCTTGATCATATCCTCAGATATTTTTTGCACATCTTCATCACTATGATCAGGAAAAACCATTAAATCAGATATTGAAGGAAATGAAAAGTAATGGGATGCACATTGCAGTCGATATACATGTCATCGAGTTCAGAAGACCTTCAGTAATGCAATTTTATTCCAACATCTCCATTGAATTGAGAGAACTCATTTGCAATGCATTTTAAATGACACTATCCAACACTATAGGAATCAAATTCAGAGCTTAAGGAACATTTAATTTTAATTTACAAGCATTTTGCAGGTCATTGGAAAGAGATTTTCTAAGAAGTTGATAAGTATAACATTCTTTAAATTATTGCATTATTCAAAGATTCAAAGGATGAAGTTTTCTGGAAATAATTCCACTAAAACAACATCAACTAAACATAACAAATGGCAATTAAAATTTATTAGTCATTCTTTACCTCATTACAACTGTTTTGTGAAAAATACATTGCGTGTGCATTTCATTCCTATTTTGTTCTATAAATATGGAAATATAATAAAATCTTTAAATTCTGAAAATTACTTTGTTACACACTTATTTCTTGACATTTTTTCTTCATTTTCGAACTTAACTTTACCATATTTTGAGAAATGCCTTACATTATTAATATTAACAACTTTTTTTTTAATCAGTGAACCCCTTAACAGTTAATTTCAGAAAAATGGACCAAAAATGGAAATTTTTTTTGACTGTTTAATTTTGTTCTTTATATTATTATAAACGTTAGAAAAGGGTTTCTTATTACAAGAATAAAATTTTAAATGCAATAACTATTTTATTTATAACTTTTACATACACATAAAAAAGTAATGGATTACACGCACATCTTATTCAATCAGAGCAAATTAAACAAAATTTTGAAGGTAAATGTAATATAACTAGTATAATATAATATAAAAACACAACAATAAGATTTTCAATACATAAATTTTACAGTACGGTATATCCTGGAACTCCGACCCACATTTCCCTCCCTTGACAGTCCTAATCTGTGAAAAACTAGGACCACCAATGCCATCTATTAGAAAAATAAAGAATTAAGTATCCTAAAATAGAAACAAACTCAGCTCGGGCATCACAAAATAGTAATGTTAATATTTCTCTTGCCCGAAGTCAGTTCGAGCATCACAAATACTGAACAGAGTAGTTGCTCGAACTGGATTCACATGACACTGGCACGGGGTTAAAAATGTCTTCAAAAATTGCCACTTCGGGAAATGCTATAATTGGCCAGTAACAAATTTTTTCTAATTTAGCTCTAAACTGCTAATTGCTGATATTTCAAAAAAATAGAAATTTTAGGTTTTCCCAGTTCTCAAAGAGAGTGGGTAATTTAAAATAAAAAATTATTACCTTAGGAGATGTTCAACACCAACTTCCTCAGCCTCTTCAGCTCCTATTTCACTTGGAACATGCTCAAATGTTTTGCTTGTTGGAGTTCCATCCTGTAATTACAAATTACATCTGAGCTTAGAAATGCAGTAAACAGATAATCAAATTATATTTACATGCAGAGCATTATGTATATGTTACCGTAAATAATCAAGATCAAGAGAATGTCGACTTCACCAGTGAATGTCAACTATCACATTGTCACTTTGGTGAAAGTCCGAAATATTTGTTATATTTGATCTGATATCAATTTATTTGTTGATATTATTATATTTATTTAATATTTTAATATCAGTGTTCGGAGTACTGGTTAAATGCATACTGGGCAGTGGCACTTGACCTTAAAAAAACATTGATGTAGAGCATAGCAGGCAAATATATATCAGACAGTGGCACTAGTATATATTATGAACATTTACCAAAATGACTATGAGATTGTCAACATTCACCAGTCGAAGTCAACAACAGTTATCCACAGTAACATACATATAATTTTAAAATAATGTATTTGACACTGGGCACAAGACTGTATGAGGAAAAAGAAATTCTTTTTCTCCTTATTTCATTATCAGGCATGGCATAGCAGAAAAGACGAAAAAAACTTGTTTTTTTCCCCAGTCTTTTCTGCTATGCCATGCCTGATGTTCATGTATTTTTTTTATAAAAAAATTATTTAAAAAGAATTATTGGTATTAAGCCAATTTATTAACAATAGTTTTGTTTAAATGATGCTTTATAGTGTGAAAAGTATCAAATTTAATACCATAAAATAATAAGTAATACAAAATAATAAATATTATAAAATAGCAAGTTTTTTTTACACTTAAAACAAAAGGATTGAATTATTAATACTAGATGGTCAACTCAGAAAATAAAGCATTTGAAAAACCTTCAGATTTTTCTGGAGTAATGGAATGTTAAAAGCAAAAAGCTTTAAATTAATAAAAATTACTACATATTTCAAAATAACACTATAAGAGTAACAAGCTCATATCATGTTAAACTGTTCCATTTAAATTATCCTTTTATCATTCAAATAACTTACAAAGAATAATAAATGAGCAATATTACTATTGTATTAAAGTAAAACTTCATTTTTGAATAGTTACACAAAAGAACTGAACAAGTAGAAGTTGAGGATCCATTCATCATATTTCTCTGACTTGCCAAATTTGGAAACACAAATGTTATGCATTAGAAAGCATTTACCTTGTAAGTCATTTTTATCCAATATATATTTTATTTGAATAAAATATAAGTTGACAATTTTGATTATAACAAAAACAATAATAATAATATTCATAAATTAATTCAAAAAAGAACATTTTTAGAAAAATATATTTTATGAAATTAAAAAAGTTTCAAACTTATTACTATAAATAAAACTCACTTCATTTTTAAATCTCATTACTATTACATTAAGCCGCATGAATAAATTCACAAAAGTTTTTAGTAAAATAAATTTCATGAAATAACTCATTACTATAAATAACACTCACTTCATTTTTAAGTCTCATTACCATTACATTAAGTTGCATGAATTAATTTTTTAAAAAAAAGGACGCTTTTAGTAAAATATACTTTATGAAATTAAAACAATTTCAAACTTATTACTACAAATAACGCTCGCTTCATTAAGTCGCATTTCTTAATCAAATCCAGAAGTAGCCAAAAGGCTAAGATTTATTTTTATATGATTTTTTTAATAGACTAAGATTTTTTTTCCTTCTGGAACATGTTTTTTAAATAGACAAAAAACATTTCAGTTTTTCATTTCACATTCAAGGTCCAAATTTTTTAGTTTATTGAAAAATATAATTTTTGAAGTTAATATTTTTTTCTAAAAAAGAATATGTTTTAAAATTATTCTTAAAAAGTTTAAAAATGAAATTGAAATATATACATCATGAACTTCTTCAACAGCTATGTAAGCCTCAGTAGGCAATCCCAGGTCTTTCGGTTTAGCTCCAATAATAACCAACACCTAAATGTAGAAAAGAGATAATTTCAGTGGAAAGCATAGAGCAAATATAAGTGATTATGGTATACACTACTCTTAAAATTTCCAATAGGCGAAGTAGAATGTTTAATCGTTCTTCTTGATATAACATCGTCCTAGCAATGGTAGGTTTTTAAAGATTCCTTACAAATACTGTGATAATATCTATAGATTTAGATTTGAAAACTTTTGCTTTTCAAAATGGGGATTCAGAGATTTCTTGTTTATTAAATACTAAATGAGGAATTAAGTTATAAAAGAAATAACAGTTACATCCACAGGCCAGAATAGGATTTATTTTTAAAAAATTTCTAAACTTACAGAAGTTACTAAAAATTGGAGTAAAAGTAAATTACGCTTAAAGTTACGTGTTTTTAAAGTCTGCAAATATGACATTTGTAAATCGAGAAATTGCCCTTTGGCAAAATAGATGGCATTTCTAGATAAGTTTCACAGTCAACCCAGCTCAAGTTGTGAAACATATAATCTCCAAAAATCATTTACACTCAAAAAACCTACCATGAAAATTTCAGACTCACTTTTAAAGGTATTAAGCAAACAAGCCTGAGAGGAACTGAATTATTAGTGATTAAGCTTGTGAAAGATTTAATATAGCAGACAAGGGCAAAAATTTACCAAATATAAAGCCGAAACTTACAAAGAGAAGGGGCAAATAAAATATATTACTGTATTGCATAAACTCAACAATATAAATATTATTGAGTTTCTACTCATTAAAAAGCACATATTTATTTAATCTTTATACTAACTAATTTTTTTAAACTTTAACTGAACCAAACATATTTCTCTACATTTGTATAGCAAAAAAACAAAGGTTAAAATGTTTGACCCGTGTAATTTCTATCCCTCACAAAAAAAAAAATAGTAATAAATAAATACATGTTAGGCAAGGTTTCTACAATTCAGTCATTTTGAAACTTTTTTTTCCTTCCCTTTTAAAATTCTGTTATTATTAACACTATGTTCTTATGACATGCAAATTTCAAATTTTGAGCTACAATTTCTTGATGTGCTGGGTTTGCATTGATTCTGTTGTAAATCCAAACTTTTCTGATCATTTTTCAGCAGTTATTTAACATCTTTTGGCTAATTTCACCTGATTTTTAAAATTTTGATGTTCATAATATTATACTATTAAGACATGCAAATTTTGGATTTGAGTTATCAATTTCAGAAGTGCTTGAAAGTTTTGTGACTTTATTTATAAAATCATAATTTTGACTGGCAGACACACTCATTACATTTTGTAATTTTATTTATTTACTTTTATTTTATTTTTTTATATATTTTTTGAAAAAGCAATACATAGAAGATCAGGGGTGATTGCAACCCAAATTGAAAATCCATGAAAGTTGAAAACTCGAACATACAATTGAACAGTGTGCAAAAACTCTATAACAATATATCAATTTATATACTATTCATAATTAATATAATTTTCAGAGCTAAGATTTATAATTTAACTATCTACTGACAAAGAATATCACACTTATATAGTAATTAATTTAGAAAAAAAAACTTAGATCTCACAAGAATTTCGATACTGGATTTTAAAATTCGTGAGAATATGAATCACAATATTGGATTTTAAGAGTGCGAAAATACAAATCACGATATTGGGTTATAAAATCGCATGAATGTGAATTGCGACATTGGACTTAAGAACGCGAAGACAAATTGGATTGCACGATTTTTAGATCTTGTGAATACGAATAGCGACCTTGGATTTTGAACTTATGTGAATACAAATTGCCATATTGATATACAAAACTCAAAAAAACGAACTGAGGTATCGAATTTTTAAATCTCTTGAATACGATTCACTATGAGTAACTTTTAAATCAGGTAAATATGAACATCAATGTACAATATTAAAATCGGGAGAAAATTAATTGCAGATTCTGATGTAGTTTCAAATATTAAAAACTATAAAAATCAAAAAAAAAAAAATTGCGGAAGAATCATTTGTGTGAAAACTTCTCAATAAGGCAATTTAAAATTTTAGATTGTAGGATTTAATTATTAATTAATTTAAGATAGCGGTTAAAATTCTGTAAGATTATAAGTTTTTATACGCGGGATTCCGTGAAAAAAATCACATGCCCTACTCCTAGTTTCTAGACTTGGAGTGATGATTCAAAAAACTGCGGAATTCCGGAGTACACTCGGAATACATTCACCCCCAGAAGATACGTAAAATGCAATTCTATAAGCTGCAATAACTTTGCATTAAAGTAATTTCTGTAACCGAACAAGAACTATTTGCTGCGTGTATATATATTCCATGCACTATTACTTGCAGGCAGTAATAAAATATATAAACTTAAGTGTAAGTTTTTGTGTTATAAAGAAATTTGCATTTAAAAATCATTTTAAAACCTTAAAATATTCATTTGTGTTGATATATATTGTGATGTTTAATAGATATGAAATATATGAGGATGATTGAGATATAAAAAGATCTATACAACACTATGTTCAATATAAAGCCTCACATTTCATTGTTTGCATTATACAGATACATTACAATATTAATTTTATACAGAGTTTGCACAATACCTTTGATCTAACTAATTAATAGTAATTTAGGTAAATTCAACAGGAAGTCAACCAGAATAAAATAATTCAGCATGTAAAAGACATTTCTACAAAATTTTTTAATTAGTTCAATTTTGAACTTACAAAATTTGAATTAACCATAAAACCAATTCTTTAACTTTTATGATGTTTAAGTCTGATATTAACTCAAAATTTTAGCAAAAATTATTCACAATAAAACAATTCAACAGAAAAGATAATAATAAAACATTTTTCCAAAAAATTTTAATGAATCAGAAATAACACCTGATCAATTTTAAAACTTACAGAATTCGGACAATATCGGCGAACCAGTTCATTAATAGCAATATCATTTTGGTGAAGTTTAGGACCAGTATGGTACCATCCAACAATACGTTCTCGAGCTGCAAAATATTTATGTTTACGTTGTATAGTTTTTAGAGCACATTGCATAGTTTAACAAATGAAAGAAGCTAACATTCATAACGTACCATTTACTTTTTTGAACATACTGTACATGTTTTCAAGGTAATCATGATCTAAAAACCAGACACTTTTGTCTTTATCATCCTCATCAAATGGAACTATAAAATAAAAGGAACTATAATATATTGACAAGCAACAAAACAAATTACATTAAGCAAATATACATTTCCTTTCCTTTCTTTTACTTTAAGCTTGTTCATTAATTATGTGTGATAATTTTTTTTAAATATATTTCATGATTATTTGTCCTTCAAAATACATAAGATCAAATACTTTACTTTTGCAAATGTAAAGATTAGGACCCAACTGAGAGAATGACTATCTGATGCTTACTAAGGATAGTTACAGGGGGGGGGGTAATTGGTACTTGCATGATTTAAAAATTGATTTTTATTTCTGATCTATTGTGTACATTTTGTACTTAAAATATGTGGCATTCACATCTCATCTACTGAAAATTTTGACTTTGTTGTAACTTGGACACCTTGTGGCAGAATTGCAGGGACATTGGCGTAAAGCATTACTGAGTATTTGCAGAAAGACTCTTCTTTTGGGAAATTTTTTTTTTTTTCCTGTAGAAATTTATACGTAAAATTTGGATTCCATATTTTAAGAATCACTTTTCGTCACATTCAATTTACGCCAATAGTATTGTGAATCCAATTATGTTTTGATTGTATTTTCGGCAGTTAATGATTTTCACATGGTTTTTAATTATCCGGATGTATTTCGAATTCTGTATTCGAGTATTTATTTAAGGCAACGATTCTATTGTTCTGTTTGGCAATTATTGCCTTTGATTTCCTTAATAGTTTTTAAACTCCGATATTATTTATTACAACAATCAAATCTTGAAACGAAACATGAATTTGATTAACACCTTTTTGAAGAGTATAATTCGCGCAATTTCATCTTCGGTCTGTTTTACTGTATTTACCGCTCCGGATTTCATGATTTAAAATTTTTTTTAAATGAGATAATGATTTACAAAGGATAAAGGAAATAATTCGTGTGTTTTTATCCCTAACAAAATGTGAGAATATCGCCCATAATATTAGAATAAAAAAATATTATATATTTAATGAGAATAATTATGTGTCTTTTTTGTTTATGGGTTTTTTTTGTTATTATTTTAAATTAATAACATACATATTTGTTATTATTTAAAGCATCTTACAGAAAGATATTAGTGTCAAAGAATTTTGTCATAGAAAGCCTGGAAATAAAACAGTATTTTCATGTATATTAACGCTAAAAAATTATGATATCAATTATTCTGTCAGAGTTTGGATTCTTATTAAGATATAGTATTTTTTCAAAAAATGATTTCTCCACTATTATCCAAATTTATAAAATTCAGACTGATTTCAGTCATTTTCAGACGAAAGGGGAATTTCTTTCCAAATGTAATAACAATGTTACTCTGTTTCTGTAAAAAACAAAAAAAAACAAGAACAATCCTCTAAATAACTACTGCGCAAGTTTTTACTACAAATTCAACAGAATTAAAAATAAGATAAATATCTTATGAATTTTACAATGATTTTAACTTATAAATTATATTGTATATTTCTTTTAGTGAAAACAAAATTACTTGTTTAAAAAAATATTGCGTAGCACAATAAATAAAAGTAAGCAGCTCTTAAATTAGAAGAACAGAAATTAAAGAGGTTTATTTGCAATAAAAACACCATCCATAAGAATAGAAATTAAATATAAAGATCAATAAAAATTTGAGCCAAAAACTTTTTTAATACCTGCAAAACTGTTTGACACATCCAAAATGCCTTTTCCTTTCCAAGATCCCAGAAGAATGCCAACAACTCTTTTCTGATTACCAATTTTCCCCATACGATTAAAATGGTCTACAACACTTAGAAGAACAAGTGGATGAACAATGACTTTAGATATTGGTGGATCAGCAGCAGGCATCTTGATTACTTACTCTTTATCTATTAAAAAAATAACATCAAAACCTTATAAACAACCCTTATAAGTTATTTTACTAAATAATCAATCTTAATTAATAGTTTTAAAAAATAATGTAAAAAATCATTATAATCCTAATTTTGTAAAGCAGCGTTTTCACTAGAGCGCGAGAATCTAGCATATTTTTTTCTTTTCTAGTATTAAAAAATTATTAACGCGATAAATTCACGCATTCTATTAATGAATTTCAAAATGGCCGACATTTTCACGCCATTTTGAATAAAATCTGTTTCGCTTTTCTTTCATTATTTTCAACGCTGGTCCTTGTTATCTAGCTTCCCTATTTACCAGTATTGTTCAGAACAGGTGCGAACAGCGGAACCCCCCCAACCCCTTTCAGAACACATTTCACTGAAACCACTTGTTCACCGTAGGCAAGGTTTCTTCATGTAAGACGTTTAAATTTCTAGTGTATGAATGTAAGATGGACAAATACCTTGTTAAGGGAACATCTTCTACTCCGTAACGGACAAATGAAAATGAAACAAGTGTCGGTAGAAACAGTCAAAACGAAACAAATACTGTCATTTTTCAGCTAAATAAAAAAATCAGTAGAGAAAAAAAAATTAGTCCTTTATTATAAGTTATCTAAAGTCAGCTCTATTTTTAGCATCTGTTGTGAGGTCACTTAGCACCCAAAACCGATTTAAGACAAAATTTCGTAACAGAATGACTGATAAGCATTTGAGCAACCTAATGAGAATAGCTGAGGAAAAAATAGATATAGAACATTTTCCATGTGATGATGCAGCAAAAAATACTCAATGCTTTAAAAATAAGATGTTAAAAATGTATTATAATTGAATAAATATTTTTTTTCCACGTCTATTTGCGCTTTTTTACTTTTTAGAAATCTCATCCTGTTTTTGAGAAAGGGTGAGAAATTCTCTCCCATTTCTTTTTCTGTAATGAAAACACTGTAAAGATAGTCCTATAATGATAATTACTTAATTCTTTAACTCAAAAAGGGGAGATTTCCGAATCATGATCTGTGGCAGAATAATCGCCAAGTCTTGGCAGCGATCAGCGAGAAACTAAAAAAAACATCACAGAAAGGGACAAACTCAAAAAGTATAACTCGTTACCAACCCCATGCAAACATCTACATGTTTTTTTTTTTAAAAAATTTCAAGTATATAAAATTTATTTGGCACGTTGGCGATAGTAGTAAGCGAGACAGATCACCATACGGAAATATCCCTCTCACACATTTCTCACCATGCTATACAATTCAAGCATTGCTACATAAAATTATTTTACATTTCTGTCCTTAATGAGACAGCCTTACAGAAATTAAGAAAACTTAATCACTCATCCATAGAACTAGCTAAAAGATCTCATTAGTCCTTACATATTTTTACTGGACTATTTGAAGAAGAAAAAAGCTAATACACACGTTTAAAAATAATTAAAAAAAATTAAAATGAGAAATGACAATGTAGAGAATGTGTAATGCCTACAATTATGATGAAATATGCTATTTTGTAATAAAAAACAAACTAAAATATGAAGAAAAAAAAACTGCCAGCAATCAATTTATTAACATCCCGAACCAACTAAATTTTGAGCCCTGTTCGATTAGTTACAGCTATATCTTATAGAAAATGATGTTAAGACATCACGCAAATTAGACAATATTATTTAATTCTTTAACTCAAAAAGGGGAGATTAACGTTCAATTAACTTCCCCAAACGACTTTAAATGAGAAAACAACGCATATTTTTTAACTTATTTAAGTAAGATTTTACTATATTTACTAAATAATGAAGTTAAAAATGAAATGTGATACATGAATAAGAACTTAATTATCTCAAAATAAATTATTCGAACGTGTATTTTCAGTACCTTAGAGAGAAAACAGAAAAGGAATACTATGATTTACTTTATGAAATATATTTAAATTTCTACAAGGAAATAAAATTAGCGAAAATGAAGTTAGAATTCGCGGTCGGGAAAATATTCTCAGTCACTTCTGTCAGTAAATAAACATGACTTGAAAGAAAGAATGTATACCATTGCCATTCTTGAGAAATAAATTTAAAAATTAATTGATTAAGAAGTATTTTGTTATATTTTTACTAGACATTTCATTGCTCAAATTTATGGCTTTTAATTGGTCAGATCCTAATACTGGATTTGATGCGCAATTAAGGCAGTTTGGATCTTAACGAATCAAAATCCTTTAAATTCTCAATAACCGTTATATGTAGAATAACTCTTCGTTCCTTTCACCAATCAAAACACAGATTGAGGTGAACTTTAGCATCTTACAATGAAAAACAAATAAAAAAAGAGCAATTTTAACCAGAGGAGACACAATATAATGTTAGAAGATTGTTTTGCTAAACTGTTCGACGTGATTCTTAATTTAATGTGAAATCGTAATATATAAATTATAAATGTCTTCTAACGTCTTAAATCAATGGCATGGATTTGTATTTTCATTAGAGTGTAGCAATGGATAGATCAGCAATGGCTTCAGAATCTATGTTTGGGATTTTGCCACATTTTTGTCTTATATTAATCTCCAACTGCTTAATTTTAACATCTTCATACATCAAATGTAAGACCTTAGTTGCTTTATTAGTTTTTTATTAATTAGAATATGATTTATCTTGCATATTTATTTAGGAGTTCTCATCGCTATAGTAAGGCAAATCTGTTGTTAAATAGTAATATGAAGAAGATTATTTTAATCAATTTTAAAAGATTTAAAAAAAAATTTATAATTGAAAATATTTATATTCTATAATATTAGAATGTTTTTAAAAATGTGTTGTGTTAGGTTTGATCCAAGTTTCACCAATAGTAACAATCAAGGTTGATAATGATCAAATATATGTTTTTCAAAGAACTTCTAAATTTTGAGTCATATTAATTGAGTTACATTTATAAATTAGGGTCTTAAAAAATGCATTCTTATGATGACGAAAATAGACTATTTGATTCTTGTAAATCTTTTTTTCTTTGCAGATACATATTTTCTTTTTTCCTATCCTGTCTATATATCCCCGAAATTTTCCTTCAAAATGCAATTTTTACTAGCTATGGGGCTAGCCCCTTAAGTGTTTTTTTTTGCGGCCAAAGCTTAGGTTATTTTGTCTTACAAAAATCTTTTCTTAGGTAAAATGTTTTCATTTTCAATTTAACTATGTATTTATTTGTTATGTTTATATTTTTAATTTTTGTAATATGCTGCGTAAGTAATAGAATGGAGATTTAACTTGTGGAGATATTTCCATAACAGTATCTGTTTGCTACAACTACGATATTATTTTTAAAATTTTAAACTTGCAATAATTTTTAAAGATGTCTCATGGCGTGCCCTAGTTGACTATAATGGTACTTTTCTATTTCCTCTCTGTAAAAAGGGCTATCACTTAGCACCATAAACTTCTATCAAAACATGTAATATTATGTTTTAACTGAATTTGATCCTCAACAATTTTTAAATTACCGTTATACTATTTTATGTATATATTTCAAAAAATAATTCTCTCCCATTATCAAAATAAGAAAATACTTCTGGTAAAAATAATTAAAGGCATGCTAAAAGACAATCTCTGTGCATGCATTTTTTTCAAAAAAAGTTCAATAACAAGTGATTGATTGATAAACAATGTGAAAGCTTTTTTCTATAATATTAAAAATTATAAAAAAAAATAAACAATTGGAGGCTATTTTTTTTTAAAAAGGTATTTAAAAAATAATTTAGAATTACTTGAAAAATTTTTATTCTGAGCCCTACCAAAAAAAAGAGATACTTATGAAAATTCAAGCAGTTGAGAATAATCTTAATAATATAAGAATAATTGTAATAATAATCAGAATTAAACCTATAAACTCAGATAATTTTACCAGTGTCTAATTATTGTTTAAACAATGAAATAATTCTTTTCAAAATGGAATATGAATAAAAAGGCAGTGTTTTAAAGGGGTGGCAGCTTATTTTTATGAATAATATTTATAGGAATCAAGACACAGGCAGGATAAGGTGCCCGTCTAAAGACGCTTAGGAAGAGCACCGCAGCTAGACAAATAATGTCTAACTATAAATCTAAAGGTGCTAATGTCTAGTTCTTATATTTGGAATTCATCCTTGTAATTAAAAATAATTTTCAAAAAACTTTTACATTTAAAATTTTTTGCTTTTTTTCCTGTATTTTACGGNGTGGACTGATCGTTAAGACACGGTTCCCAGCAGATCACCGAAGTCAAGCATCACTGGCTATGGTCAGCGTGCGGGTGGGTGACCACTTGGATCAGTCTGCGTAGAGACCGAGGGTGTGCAATATTGGTCCTCGTTAAACTGTTCTACCGTAAAGTGCTCGACTTTGCGCGAAGGTCGTCGGGCTACCGAAGCGGGGGTGCCATTACCTTCCGCAGAGGATCAAAATTGTGATGGCATGTCTTCGGATCATCCTCCGGGATGTTTCCCAGACCGTCGCCAATAGCCCATTGTGCAGCTCTAGTGCGACGTAAATTAGCAACAACAACATCCTTTTTTTATGTTTGTTTTAGTTTGTTACTCAAGTGGCAATGCTTAGTTCTTCCCGAATTTTTGCATGGAAACTGATGTGGAAAATTTCCTATTCAGATAAATAACTTTGTTTTAGTTATTTTTTTTAAAAAAAATAATGAAAAAATGTGATTGAGATTCTAGTATTGATTGAGAAAACAGGAATGGCAAATTTCTTTTTATTCTTGAGTGGAAAAAAATCTTTAAAAAAGAAATTATCAAATTATTTTTTTTCTTCAGAAATTGAAGTTTTTATAATAATCTAGTTTAAATAGTTAATGATGAATCTATTATAATGATGAATCTATTATAATGATGAATCTATTATAATGAGGAATCTGCACCACCATCTTCATAAATCTAAATTTGTCTATGACCTCAATGCAGTCAGGCAACAATTATTATAGTAAAAATTTAGCTTAAAATCTAACATGTAGTCTGTCTATGTCAAGAACTACCCTTGCCATTCTTTTAGAGCAGTAGTGGTGACTATGGTTACAAGGTTTGACTGTGTCAAGTAGGGGTGTTGGGTCTATATTTAAAAAAGGTTTTCAGACTTTGGTTGACAAGAGAAAGGGGACATGAATTCTCCTCTTTGAAATACGCTATTTCTTACTTCCTTAGCAGCAGGCAGAATAAGACAGGAGAGTTCTTTCTATTCACAAACTATACATGTAGCAAAATTTTTAAATATATGTTCTATTAATTGCCTTTTTCTTCTAAAAAATATTGAAAATAATTTGAGAATATAAATGATTTGAAACCCATCACTGACTAACTACTAAAGTATAAGAATACTTTCTGAGATAACTTTTTAAATTTTAATATAGATTGTTTTGTTTAGTTGTTTTGATTTTTAAAAATTTCTTCTAATTATTTGTTAATTTTAAATTTAGTAAGGATCTTTTTGCTTCAGTTACTTCTTTTATATTTAGTTCATTTTTCTTATTAATTTTCTTATCTAAAGTATTAGTAATTTCCCACCAATAAACACGCCATATGATGTGATGCCAAAATGACGCCAATGGTTGGGTAAGACTATGTTTATCTAATCAAACAATGAAACAAATTTACAAATTCAGAAAAAGACAAAATAAGTTGGTAAGTAACATTTCAAAATAATAAATCAAAATAGAAAAGTGCTTAAAGCAGCTAAATCCAACTTTGTTTTATTTTAATTTAAAGTCAGAAAAACAATTCTAGCAAAAAAATAAAATTTTGAAGATCTGTGTGTTAGCGGGACAGCACTACATCAGGGGACACACTGCCTGCCAACATACAGGTGACTTTCTGTTGTCAGTGGTGAAACCAAAAACTGACAGTGCCCCGAGGCCCTATAATGGAAAATCAAATAAGAAAAGCAATTAGAAAAATTTAAATGTAAATGCAAATAAAAATTACTGACAAACAATTACAAAGTAAATCTTAATAATGACTTAAAAGTGCCCAAAATATCTTAAAATTTTAATAGTTTTTTTTTCTTCTAGAATTGTTTTTCTGACTTTATAAAGTAAAACTACATTATTATCATTTCATTCTGTCCAAAAAAAAAATGTTTTGCTAATTTATTTGTGTTTTGTTTGTGTGTAGTGGGAGAAAGTAGAGACTTGGATCTTCCTCCTGACAGCAGTACTGTTGATCCATTGGCTGCTTTACTTCCGCATTATATAAAGAAATCTAATGTGGATCCCTATCTCACAAGAAATGTCACCACACAAGTTGGACAGACTGTTTATCTCAACTGTATCGTCAACATTGTTGGAGAAAGAGCTGTACGTAGTGCACTTTTATTTTTTGTAATTTATCATTAGAACTTTTACTATAAATTTGATTGGCAGTATTTCTGCTAGACTTTGGAAACTTCAAATGATTTTAAGACCCATGATTTCCTTATTTCTAGCTACCTTTTTTTACTAAAATCCTGTCACAATTTAACCTGTGTCATCCTTTCTCAAAATTTTTTTAATTACTTTAAAATTTAGATGCATGCTAACTTTTCATGTCAAACTCTCATTGTTCACATCGTTGAAAAGGCAGCAATATTGACATTATTACAATAATTCCAGGCCTGTTATATAAGAATCATGATAACTTAAAACTATATTTAATAATCCAACAATAAAACATAAGTACAACAAAATAAAATGCTAGCAAATAGGTAACAGAAAAATAGTAACAAACATCAATTACATGGTTCGTAGCCTTTTTAAAAAGTGCTTAAAGGTGTTTATTTTCAATATTCATATTTTAAAAGCCCTTAAAATGTGCTTTTTTCATTGAGTGTTTTTAAAAAGTTCTTAATTTTCCCTTTTCCAAAATGAGATTTTTTTCTTTATAATGTCGATTTTCTCCAAGTATTGTGTAAAAGCGTGCTTTTCACATCGTTCTATTCAACATTTTCACAATTAATTCAATAATCCAGTGTATTCATTACAGAAAAAAAATGGGAGAGAATTTCTCACCCTTTCTCAAAAACAGGGTGAGATTTCAAAAAGTTAAGTGAGATTTCTAAAAATTAAAAAAACACGAATAGACTTGGAAAAAAATTATTTCTTTAATTATAATACATTTTTCACATCTTCTAATTGAATATTTTTGCTGCATCATGATATGGAAAATGTTCTATATCTACTTTTTCATCGGCTATTATATTTATTTGGTTGAAAAATATCCGTATTTGTTTCGTTTTAACCATTTCTACCGACATTTGTTTAATTTTCATTTGTCCATTACGTAGTGGAAGATGTCGCCTTAGCAAGGTATTTGTCTATCTTACATTCATGCACAAAAAATTTAAACGTCTTACATGAAGTAACCTTACCTACGGTGAACACGTGGTTGCAGAGAAATGTGTTCTGAAAGGGGTTCGGGGGTGGTGTTCTGCTGTTCGCACCGGTTCTGAACAATAGTACTGATAAATAGGGAAGCTAGATAACAAGGATCAATGTTCAAAATAATAAAAGATCAAGGAAGAAAAGTGAAACAGATTTTATTCAAAATGGCAAAAGACGAAATTTTTTCCCAAAATTCTTGCATTTCGAAATTGATTAATAGAGTGCGCAAACTTCTCGCATTAATAATTTTTTATTGAGAGAAAAGAAAAAAATATGCGAGATTCTCACATTCTCGCTCTGTAGTGAAAACACTGCAATCTATTTCTGCATACCGTTTGTCCGTAGCGTATGAAAGCGCCAATCATTTTACATGTTGGATGAAATACTTGCGAGTCCGCATGTGCGTCTACTGAGCTGTGTTCCATGAGATTATTTCACTCTTATTTTTCATATTGCAAGATATTCTCAATTTCAGGCTTCATTTTCCACTCTCTGATGTCGAACTGAAAAATCTTGATCATTTTATAATGGCGAATATAATCAAGAAAAAGAGTTCTTTGTCAGAAACTAGTTATTTTATCGTTATAATGTAAAGTGTTTGAAAATTATTTTGCATTTTGTTAGTGCATATAGTGCTTAAAAATATTTTTTGAGTGCTTAAAGGTGCTTATTTTTTGTTGAAAGATTTGGGTGCGCACCCTGAATTAGTAAAGTCTTTATTTGCTCGCTCTGGATAGTGAGGCAGCGTCGCTTTCCCAACTAAAGACTGTTGTCATGGATTCGTTAGTGATGACGGAAAGTGGCGTCGGCGGACACCACAACAGTTAAAAGTCTGTTAAACTTATTCCCGTTTTGGGCATTGCAGGTAAAGTAATCATATCACTAATTACAAGCCTAACTAATTTTTGTAACAGTTAGAATTGCGTCAGATTTTGTTATTTTTATAAAATGAAACATAATTCCCATTAAAACAACTATCTTAAAGCCTCTGTGATAGTAGTTCTATTGTTTGTTGTGAAATGGCACAGAACATTTTTTACAAAATTTTATGCAAAAAGGTACACTAATACTGCATTTTTATCCCTTCCAAATTATGTTGATTTAAGTTAGGAATGCACAATCTGCAGCCTTAAGAGTGTTGTCATAAATGTTGCCTTAAGAGTGTCAAAAATGTTGAATATGTTACTCCATGCTTGACTACTTGAAAAATTTTGGATACAGATACATAATTTCCCACAGAGACATTTTTTAAACTTTTTTTTTTAAGTAATTTTAATTAGCTTTGAAGAAATTCCAAAATGTAGTAATTGGTATTAATTTAAGGTGTTAAAAACTTTTAAATCTTTTGATATTTTGGTTTCTTTTTAAAGAAAATTCACTCTAATTTTTAAAAACTTTTATATTAATTCCGTTGTGGAAAGTAAATTATAATATCGAAACAAAAAATCTACATGGATTTATAATTTTCTTTTATATTTAGTTTTTAGACCTGGATTTCTTTTATACCATGTGTTTTTATAAAAAAAATTATTGAATATCAATAAAAGTATGCTATTACACAACAGATTTATTTAATTTTGTAGCTTTGAAGCAATATTTCATTAGTCTACTTTTTAGGGTGGTTTTTTATTGTTATTTTACATTAAACATTCAGTTATATTTTTTACCTACTTGCAGGTACATGGAGCTTTGGTACTTTGATAAGCTTAATATTGCATATTAAGCTTATCAAATTCCTATTTCAGAGATAAATTATTTGAATTCAATAGTTTTTTCTCATTGACTATGTATAATTAAGTTTTTATCTCTCATAATAAATGAAATTCATAACTCTCTTAGAATCTGATTTCTTTTTTGCACTGCAAACTAATTTTATTCATTTTTTTTTTTTTAATTCTATGCCTTTATGAAAAAACTGGGAAAATTCGCATTTTAACTGCTTCTAAAATTAAAGTAAGTGATTGAAAGAAATTTAATAATAAAAAATAAAAAAACAGAAGATATAATCAAAAGAATAGTATCAAGTGCTGAAACATTATTATAAATGGTCTTTTTACTAACTGGTCAATTTTTAATAATTTTTTCTTTTAAAATTTGATATATTCTGCTTGTTCCATTTCTTAATCTTATAATTTTCTTTCAGATTTCATTTAAGATGTAAAAAGTTATTTAGGTTTCATATTTATATCTTATAATATTGTTCCAGATTTCCTCATTTCTAATGCACTTGGCACCTGCATATTAAATAATGTTTTGGTGGAGAAAAAAAATTGTAAACATGTATTGGTGTCTGAAATATCTTTTGTACTGAATTAAATAGATATATAATAAATTTGTTATTTTCTTTTTAGGTGTCTTGGATTAGGTTGAAAGATTTTCATTTGTTGACTGTTGGAGAGTATACTTACACAAGTGACACTCGATTCCAAAGTGTCTACATGCAAATAAGTAATAATTGGGCACTCCAAATTAAATATCCACAAGTGGCAGATGAGGGACTGTATGAGTGTCAGGTCAGCTCCTTCCCATCCAAGAGTGTTTACTTTAGACTGTGGGTAGTGGGTGAGTCATTTATGATCTAAATTTTCTATCAATATTTGCTAGCAAGATTTTGTAATAGTGGAGTTGGGGACATTCAGGTCACTGCAAGGCTTAAATGTACCAAATCTTTTTTTTTGTTGCCTGAATTTATGTTTTAAATATTTTCTCTCTTTTATGTGTGCTAGTTCTTACCTGTTATGTTATTATTTTTGGTAAAGTTTATTTTTCATATATATTTATATACATACATAGATATATAATGCATTAATGAGAGAAAAAAGAAATTAAGAAAAAATTCAAAATAAAAAATATTTTTATAAATCACGTTTTTGTAGTAGAGAATAATAATTAAAAAAAAATTGAAAAACAAAAAACGTGGGGCGCATGAAATACATAACAGTACATATACACATACATATAAACATTTTCTTACTCATACACANTAAAAAAATAAAAATAATATTTTTAAAAATCACATTTTTGTAGTAGAGAATAATAATTTTAAAAAAATTGAAAAACAAAAAACGTGGGGCGCATGAAATACATAACAGTAATGTTAGTGTGCTCTTGAGAATGTGTGCATGTATATCTGTAATTGTAATTGTATCTGAATGTCGATGTGGAATATGTTTGTGATGTATGTGGCTGTGCATGTGTATGAGTAAGAAAATGTTTATATGTATGTATATATGTACTGTTATGTATTTCATGCACCCCACATTTTTCGTTTTTCAATTTTTTTTAATTATTATTCTCCGCTACACAGGGATGAGATTTTTCCGTTTTTTAGCGGATTTCCGCTTTTTTCACTTTTATCTCTTAAATTTCAGCTTTTTTATCAAAAATTCAGATTTTCTAAAAATTTCATTTTTTTAAATTAGTATTCTGCTTTTTCAGAAAATTCACCGATTTTCAAAAAGGAACAAAAAATTCAAACTACATAGCTACCAATCCATTCTCTCCACTCTTTTTCTTTCCTTTTTTTATACTCGCATTAACTGAGTTAGTTGTGGTTCACATTTATTCGAATAATCGGGACTGTACTGTACCCCGGACAGAAATATGGCGACATTGTTGCAGAACGTTACAGAGTTCATGCAAAAAGATTTTTGCTTTGAAAAATAAAAAGCAATTACTTTTCTTTTCTACGGAAATTTACAACGTAATCTTCTTAAATTTTACGTAAAATTACTTATGAATTGTGCATTTGAGTGTTTACTTCATGGTGTATAGCGTTTTTGAAATGTGCATATTTTCAATTTTCGTGATTTAAAAGCTTTTTAAAGGTGCTTTTTTCATTGGCTGTTTTTAAAAAGTGCTTAATTTTCCCTTTTCAGAAATGAGATTTTTTTTCGTGACCGTGTCGATTCGTGACGTATCATGCAAAAGCGTGCTTTTCACATTGTTCTATTCAATGTTTTCACAATTCATTTTGCCATACCGTCGGTCCATAGCTTATGAAAGCGCCAATTATTTTACATGTTTGATGAAATACTTGCGAGTCCGTATCTGTGTCTACTGAGCTAGGTTTGGAGAGATTATTGCCTTCTCATGTGCAATTCTGCAAACCGAGAAATCTCTCAATCATTTTATAACGGCTAATGTAATCAAGAAAACAGTTCTTTGTCAGAAACTAGTTATTTTCTCATTATCATATAAAGTCTTATTTGTATATTTTATAAAATCTTGTTGTAAGTATTATTTTGCACTTTGTTAATGTATATAGTGCTTAAAAAGTACTTAAAAGGTGTTTATTTTTTGTTGAAAGATTTGGCTACGCACTCTGTACTCTTTACGGCCATGATTCTGTCGAATTTTTAGCAGTTATTGTGATTGATTTCTCCTTAGTTTTGAAATCCGATATATTTTATACCATGTCATTTATTACTTACCACAACGACCTAATCTCAAAACACACATTTGAGGAGTCCGATTCGCATGATTTTGTTGTCGATCTTTCTTTCGGCAATTACTACTACAGATTTCATGATTTTTTATTATGTTCATTATTGTGATGATTAGTTACTAGTTACAAATTGCAAAGAAGGAAATAATTTGTGCATCCCCCCTAAAGAAAATTTAAGAATATCACCCATAATATTAGAATTAAAAGTTATTACATGTTCAATTAAAGAAAATCATTTAGTTTTTTTTTTAAACACAGTACTTTTGTTATTTTAAATGAGTAACATATATGTTTTTTATCATTAAAAGTATCTTGCAGAAAGATATTAGTATCAGAGAGGTATGTCCCAGAAAGCCTGAGAAAATTCTGCCACAAGGACTATATATATATATATAATCATTCCCTTATTATTACAGAATCCGTTATTGACTTTTTTTTTACTGATTATTTTTTAGTGTTTCACAATACCTGAAGCTAAAATAATGGAAGGTCCAGATATGTATGCGGAAGTAGGAAGTTCCATCAACCTATCATGTGCCATTGCGGACAGCCCAAAAGCCCCAGCTTATGTATTCTGGTACAGTCACAGTTCAGAAGGGTAGTGGAAATACTGCAGTCAGTAGGCTAAAGATCAGGGACGCACAACCGGAACCNTTTTTAATCTGTGCTGTTATAGTTTTTTTTTAATGCATTGATAAAAAGAATCATTATCAAATTAAAAATTAGGATGTCATATAGAAACTATAAATTTTATTGTTCAAAGAATATTTATGGCTTATAAGTTGAAAAGGCTTGGAGCCATGCTCTTTTGACTTTGGTTTACTAAAACTGAATGTTTTTTTTTAATGCAAACAAACAAACAATTATCTTTTTTTGCATTTGTACAATTTTGGTTGTTTTTATTTTACAAATAATTTGAAAGTAATAATAAGAAAGTGTACTCAATTTTGATTATTTGCATTTTCAGGGTGTGTATCACGGACTGGACAATTTTGTGAATGAGGCAAGTTATATGAGTATGATTGGTACAACACCTGGATGGGGGGGGGGACATTCATCGTTCAAGTTAGTAACATTTTTTTAATCAATATTTTCTTCTTTCTGAACATATATATATTAAATACATTGCTCTAGTTAAAATTTATACACAATTCAGTATGTTTTTTAAGCTACTCATTTATATCACTACTTTTGATTCTTATTAATATTATACAGAATTGTTCACTAAATTAAACAGGCAAGGTACTTTGTTGTGAATGGCNTTTCAAAAAATCATTGATCACAGAAGTTTCCGAAAATCAAAATTTCAAAGGTGGGACTTAAAAGCTCAGTTTATTTTAGTTGTTTGTAAGGAAGAGCCGGAGAGATACTTTATAAGCTCATATTCATGATTAATATTCATTTTTTATCAGTAAATAGTTGTTATAATCATAAACTCAAGAAAGAAATATATATTTGTAAATTTTAATTACTTCTCCAGGTCATCGTAGGTATGTGTTAAATCTTAAATATATCTTCAGTAAACTAAGAAATATTGAGAAAATGGAAAAAAAACCTTGTTTAAATTTTTTTTTAATTTTTCAATTTAAACTGTTTTTTTTTTTTAATCTCAAGAATCAGAATTTTGACTTGGGCTCACAATCACCCCTGTAAATATGTTTTTCTTAATAATGTAGTTTATTTTTGGCTCATAAGTAGATGCTTTTAAATTATGAATGGTCAAAATTTTTTTAGTAAACAAAATTTTTAAAACTAGCTTAATGTAAAGCTAAAAGTTTAACTAAATTTAATGTCACTTTGTTCAGTTTGCAATGTTCTGAATAAATTTTATTTATACTGAATGAAATGAAATTAAACTTTGGAATATGTCACTGCTGTTTTAATATAATATTTTAAGTTCTTGGAACTGAAGTTAAACATGCAACATTTTTTTTGTTAGGAAAAACTAATGTTTATTATGTATTTTTTTTAATAGCAGTTAATTAAAATGTGATTTAAAGTTATATTTGATTACTATAGCAAAGAATGTTTTTGGATCAATTTTTCTTTAATTTATATATTTTTAAGGATGTTAAGATAATAACACTGTTTTTAATTAAGTCACTATTTATCACTTTTTAAAAAATTTTAATCACTTTTTTCACCACTTTTTCTACAATGTCCTGTGCTGAACCCTGCATTATGCTTTATGTTGAACAACTACATGTTTAAGAACTTTTATTAGAATTTTTCCATTGAATTTCTCTTCTTCCAATTTAACAATGAATGTATTTTTTAATGTCATTATTCAAAATATTTATGTGTTTAAATTATAACGCCTCACTTTTAAATATCTATGAGAAAAAGTAATATTTCCATTATTATTCAAATGTGTGATGTATGTGAGTACATATTTTGAATCCTGATGTCAGAAGAAACATTTTTCTGACTTTTGCACCAATTTATTCCCAATACGTTAAGTCAATTCTTAAAATTAAACTTAATTATAAATATTAGCTTTTTTAAAGTAAAGCACTTATCACTGCCCCCTCTTTTGAAAAAAAAAAATACCAACATGAAAAACCCAGAAAAGACCAATTAAACCCACCAGGGTTGGGTTTTTTCGCAACCTTGGGGCTAGGTCACTACTTTGGAGACTCAAGCTCCGGATTTCAGTCAGTACTGACACGGCAACACAAAATCAAATTCTAGCTCCAAAAATAAATTTTTTAGCACATAAAATAGCATTCTGTTTTGAAACTAATTTAAATACATTTATTGTTATTTACTTTTTTCTTTGAGTTAGTTTTTTTCTTATCTGATAGCAAAAATTTAACAGCAGTAGTCAAATTTCACGTTCAAGAATTATTATAGAATACAAAATGAGAAAACATAATTTTCCATGTTTTACTGCAGAAATTATAAAGTTGAAATCAGATGAATTATAAAATGTATTATAAGAATTTATGTGTATGAGTTATGTGTATGTTATAAGAATTTATGCTTAAAATTATGTTTCGATGTTTAAAAACTTTTATTAGAGTTTTCAAATTGAAATCGACTGTCTCATAAATTTAAACAGAAAAGAAAAATGAACTTAAAAAATAAAAGTAATTAATGCTTAAAAATTCTTCCATTATTCATATCATTATTTAAAATATTTTTAGATATTTCTGAGCAAGTGTAGCTCAAAGAATATTTTTTTTTAGTAATTTGCATTTAAGGTTTTTGTTTTGTAGTGATAAATGTTTTGTTTCTTTAAATTTTCTATCCTATACGTACTATATCATATGTATGAAAATATATTAAACATCCCAACAACACTAATTAAACATCCCAATTAATAAACTATTGCTATCAAACAATATGTAACTATAGAAGTGCCTTTATATCAGGGTTGGCAGGTTTTTGACATGTGACAGTTTTTGACAGTTTAAACCATGGTTTAAACCGTCACGTCAAAAACCTCACTGTCAAAAATGTCGAAAATGTCAAAAACCTATATTCATATGTGAAATTTAATTAATACATAAAATTTATATATTTTTTATAAAGGATAGTGTTTCTAAATATGTTCTAGAAAAAATANTTGACAGTTATTATCAGAAAAGTTGTTGAACACTCAACTCATTTCGTACAGAGAGTGTAAACATCAAAGTTTTCATATCCTTTAGTTGGGATTTATGAGATCTGTGAGGTGGGGTATTGTTGCTTCAGCTTTCAGTAATTAATGCCCTTCTTCTCTTAAGCCCTGAAGTGCACTATTTATAATTAAAAATAAGTAAATAAAATATCAATGACTATCAATATGTAATTTTTTTTCCTTCTTCTTTATGCTCTATAGGACCAGGTTTAGATGTGCCTGCCCCTGACATGGGTACCAGAGAGAGAGAGAAATGGGTTGAATTGCCAACATTTATGCCCAGACTATAGGTAAGATATTATATTTATTTGCTTATTTAAAAGGTAGTATAGGACTAATAAATAGATTTAAAGTAAGAACTGTTTTGTTAATGTTTTTTTTTTAATTTTATTTTTATTTGAAATGAATCATTCTTAAGATTATGAACAATTCGTAATTCAAACTGCTCAATATAATCTCCTCTGACCAAGAACATGTTAATGCATGACAGGGTTTGCCAAGTGGGCCCACCTTGAAAAAACCTACTTGAAACAATAAGTGGGTTTTTTCAACAACAACAAAAACAACAAATTTTTTTATTAAAACTTAATGATGCACATTTAATTCTATATAATTTTTTGTGCGGAGTAAATTCGTCAAATAGACTTGCATGTTTCATATGATTTGCATCTACTCATCTGAGTTTCGATGAGACTATTGCACTCTTATGTGCAACTCTGCTGCATTTTGCAAATTATTCTCAACTTCAGTCCTCATTCCCACCCTCTGATATCGAATAAAGAAATCTCTTGATCATTTTATAATGACTATTGTAATCAAGAAAAGAGTTCATTGTCAGAGACTAGTTATTTTATTACAATCATTTAAAGTCTTTGAAAATTATTTTGCACGTTGTTAATGTATATAGTATTGCTTATTTTTTGTTAAATGATTTGGCTACGCAACCTGTGTAAAAAGTTTCATATTCAGGGATGATTGTGTTCCGGAAAAGAGCCGGATTTCCGAATCTTTCGAAGTTTCCGGAAATCCTAAGTCCAGATGCTTCAAGAAATCATCCATTACATATATTTATAAAAATTCTTGTATATTTTATTTAAAAATATTAGAACTAGAATTTATACTTGGCATCTCTTTCATTTGTAAATATTTTTTCTGGTAGAATGGTAAATATGATTAGAGATAAAAGTAAACTTACACATAATTATTCATTTAAATTATGCTGCATATAATTCATTTATAATATCATGTTTTGAAAATTTCAATTATTTAAATTTATAAAGATATAAATTTTTTGAATGATTTTGCTCAGAAATTTTCAAGATTTTTGAGTTTGGCCCACAATCACCTGCATATTATATCTTATAATATTGTCCAGGTTTCCTCATTATTCTTGCACATAATACTTGCGTATTAAATAGTGTTTTGGTAAAAATTAAGAAAAATAAAAAAGACAACAACAATTTTAAATATATATTGGTGCCGGAAATATCTTTGTACTAAATTGAGTGGATAATAAATTTATAATTTTTTTTAGGTGTCTTGGATTAGGTTGAAAGATTTTCATCTGTTGACTGTTGGGGAGTATACTTACAAGAGTGACACTCGATTCCAAAGTGTCTGCATGCAAATGAGTAATAATTGGGCACTCCAAATTAAATATCCACAATTGGCAGATGAGGGATTATATGAGTGTCAGGTCACCTCCTTCCCATCCAAGAGTATTTACTTTAGACTGGGTAGTGGNAAAAAAAACGCACTTACTCATATTTTTCTTGGATTTTTTTTTCTAGCGGAATTTATAAAAAAAATGGTAAGTTTTTTTTGTTGTCAAAATTTTTATATAACAATAACAATGCAAGTTTATATATAACAATAACAAGTATTTTCTTTAATGTATGCTTTTATCCTCTTATTAGGTCATACAGATATGAATTCCCACGCTTTTATAACTGGTAAACTAATGAATCAAGGTGATATACATGGAAGAATTTCTGC